CAAACTTGCTGGAAGCAGGATTTTTTAAGAGTCCTTTGTCAATGTGTTTCACATAGTTACACATAAAATTAGAACCTTCCACTGTGTGATAACATCAAAGACATGCCTGAAGGGTACTTAGTTTTTTTTTTAAGGTGGGGGATCTACTTGGAGAAACCAGTATAAGAGGCTATTTGAAAGACATCAAACGTGGACTTGTCCGGACTTTGCAGGTCTTGAATATATATATAGGAATCAAAATTGACTCATTACTTTTAAACTTTCACATCAGTTTAAAAAAAGAAAAGAAATGTTATGGTAGTACTTGAGATATGTAACTTTTACTCCAGTATCCAAGAAAGTCTAGTCATAGGAACTTAGATCCTGCTATGTATATCTAGAGCTTTCCTTTTTTCTTATTCAACCAAAACATAATAAAATGATAACAAAAACATATATACAAGACAGTATGTACCCTGATCACAAGACTATAATAAGCTACATGCATTTCTTTTAAAACTAGGAAATAAAATCTCTCAACTTCTGTAGAAGAATAGCAATATGCTAACCAGGCTATTTTTGTTGGGAAATTTTAGAGACATTTGTGACTGAGTTTTTATGTATCTTTTATCTTTTAGGATAATTATATCCTTTCATGATTGTTCATTCTAGTGTCTTACGTTTCTTTTGTGACATATGCAGTGTCAGGGTTAAAAACAAGTTATTGATAATATATAGTCTTTATGCTTTGAATTCAGAGTTAACATTTTAATGGAATTTAATAAAAATTTCAGAATTCTTTAAATTTCATGTTTTAATAAAGTCTTCATTTGGGTACAATTTTATTTATTGTCTTTTTAAATATCAGTATCAGGTTTATTATTTAAAAAGCACATAACAAAAATGGAATTTAGAATATTTAATTTTCAGAATGCACCATTTTAATAAACAGTCTCTTGTCCATGGCAGGTTCTGCAGTCAATGTCTCATCTAATAATATTTTCTTTATCTGGTAAATATGGTTATCAGTTTCATAGAAAAACAAGGCAGATTTTGGTGGACACAATTGGAAATTGGAACGCCTTTGAAGAAAAGTAGGGAGGCTCTAATATAACAGGATAAATATTTCTTGATTCAGTTTTGGATTGCTGCATTTATTTTCTCAGGTGTTTCATCAAAAATTCCAAAATTATTTTTGGATAATATTTATAGTAAGACTACACAAATTAACAGTGAAAGGAATTACATGTAATTTTGGTCCATTTTCATTGTTAAGAATACTATCAGTAACTCTCATATCTGTTATATTTGCATTAACTTCGATAAGTTCAATAAAACCCACAATTTATCCATTTTGAGATAATTAAATCTTAAATAGCAAACTGAGCACCTCTTAAATATGGCTGCATCTCAAAGACAAGCATTTTCACTTTGGAGCTGAAATAATTTATTAGGCAATTAAAGAAATACTAGTAGTATTTTTGGTAGAAGTTACCTGTGGTATATATAAAGCCACTATTTGTCAAGTAAGTTGTTATTAGGTTTATTTATAATTCAAAACCATAAATAACTTGTTTTAAAGTGACAGTCCATACATTATATATGGTTTTTTCTGGGTATAGAGCTAAAATAAGCAAAAATGAACAGCAGTGATTTTTATTTGGTGTATAACAAATCGAATTCTGCCTCATTTCTGAATTCTTACTTAAATTTGTTTTGTATGTTATAATTGTACATACGGGCCCTTGTTTCATTTCCTCCAAAATTCATATACAAGTGGATGTAAGGTTAATTGTAGCACAGTGCTTAATCTCTTGAGCACTGTTTCCTCAATAGGTGTCTCAGGTTGCCAGTGTTAAACAATCCCAAATACTTTGTTGAACAGACTACCTGTTCATACAGGAGCTGCATTGTTGTATAGCCTCATTCCTTCCGATGGGCGTGGAGCAGGCTTAAAGCACACTTTATAGGGGTTCTAATTGTAGATGCCTAATTGACTTGTTGAATAGCAAAATGCTAAAATTTAAACACATACACACATAGACACATAAACCTGTTTCAGGGCTGATCTGCATGACAGAACAAATGCCTCACAGGTGTTGAATGCTTACAAGATAAAAGAGTAGTCTTTCCATATTTCCTAAGAATTTTCTTTTGAAGTTTATATGGATTTTCTATCTCATTGTTTCTTTTTTTAAAATGGTTCATGGCAAGAATCCATTTCATTTTTGGATGTACTTTTCACTTCCTAAAGGCAGACCCAAGTTGTAGAAGTTGGCCAAAATTAAAAACAGGAAATCAGTCAACAAGTAAATTTTCACACACTTTGGGAAGGGAAGAGAGTAAAAAACTGCTGACTCTAGTCTTTGGACTAGTGGGGTCACGAGTTTTTTTTTTAATTCTTCAAAAAGGACTTGATGCGTTACTAAGTACTTCCAAGGTCTCATGAGTTTGTAATTGTTATCTGAAAACGAAGGAAGCTTCTCAAGCTAGGAATTTGACAGATTGGTGGAAAAGACTTCTTAAAAATCAAAAGATCATACCAGTTTTTATTTTTAACATTCTTAATGTTTTCCCTTTATTATTATATTTTATAGTTTGACAGTTTTCCAACTCTGTTCGGGCAAATATTTGTCTAGGTTTTTATTTTGAGCTTATTGTAGATTCACATGTAGTTGTAAGAAACAATACAAAGAGATCTCTTATATATTTTACCCAGTTTCCCCAATGGTAGCATCTTGTACAACTGTATCACAACCAAGAAATTGACATTGATACAGTCTACCAGCGTCTTTCAGGTTCTGTCAGTTTTACATGCGTGTGCGTGTGTTTGTATTTTGGTCTCTGCAGTTTAAGACATGTGTACATTCCTCCAAAGATCCCTCATGCTACCCTTTTAAGTCCCTAGCCACCTTCCTACTACCCCAACCCCTCCAACTTTTGGCCACCCATAATCTGTCTCCATCTCTATAATTTTGTCATTTCAAGAATGTTATATATTAAGTGGAGTCATATAGAATGTACTCTTTGAGATGAGCTTTTCTTTTTAATTCCATTGTGATCCATCCAAGTTGTTGCATGTATAAATACTTCATTCTTTTTATGCTTTTTTTTTTTTTAACAATTCATGCATTGAAGGACCTTTGTGTTTTTTCTGTTTTTAGCTATTATGAATAAAGTTGCTGTGAACATTTGATTACAGGTTTTATTCATAAGATTTTTTCACTGTTCATAACATTTTATTTATTCAAACTATGAGCCATAGAAACGAGGGAAAAATATATCATAGCAGCTGGATATTTCCTAGAGATGGAATTTGAAATATAGCACAGAAATGTAACACCAAAAATTCTACAGGGCCTTTATTTTTTCATAATAGCTGCATTTCCTGGCATTGATGTCATTACCACTTGAGACAATAAGAAGAAATGACTTCCCTGTCAGTATCTATGTGACTTTTATCCCTAGTCAGCATCATGAAAGGGGTGATGGTGGGGAAATGTACAAGTATAGGTTTGTTTTTTAAAACTGTTATTTGTCTTAAATTATGTTGTTCAAAAGATTGTCCTAAATTAAACAGATAGTGAAAAATTCTGTCCTTAGACATGACAAATTTATTAATCTTTTTATACACATTATCTGGAAAACTTTTCTAAATATATAACAATAGAACCCATAGATAAACAACCAAAGACAAATAATAAATCTTTGCTTTTTCAGAAATCAGTCAATCTGTAACTATTGAGGACTGACTCTGCCCCAAATAAAATAAATTACTGAGTAGATATGGAATTTTTAAAACTTTCTAGTTATTATTTTTAAAAATAAATAAAATATCCACAACTGGGAATAGTAAAGACTGACACATATATCAGAGAAAGTACACACAGAAGCTTTCCTCACTTTATGATAATCACATTGCAGAAAATAGGGAAAAGCAGTTTAATGTTGCTAAATAGACTTAATTTTTTTATGATTTTTAACAGCTATATATTACTCCATCAGGTGGTTATATATTTTATTTAAACATGTCCCTATTTTAAGTATTTTATATTACTATAAATTGTTCAGTGTTCTTTGTAACTATGGTTTTCTCTATAGTTTGGATTATATTCTTAGGTTAGAATCCAAGAAATGAGATATTGATGAAAAAGGGTACTGATATATATTGCTAAATTGTTTTCCAAAACATTGTGCCAATTTATAATATCATCAGCAAAGTTTGAGAGTCTAGTTTTATCAACATTTGGTATTATACTTTTGCTAAGTAATTTCTTTTGGTTTGGATTTACATTTAGTTGCTAGTGATGTTGGATGTATCCATGTTTGTTTAATGGCTGTTTTCCTCCTTTTAATTATTGTTTCTGAGAACTAGAAAGAAATGTCGCTCTATTTTCTCTTTATCTTCCTTGCAGTTTCAGTGCCAATCAGCCTGCTTTCTTCACAATAATTACCCAAGTCCCAGACGCAGTGGTCTTTTGTTACATTTTGTCTCAGTCTCAATTAAAATTAAAAATACATATAACAGATATCTTGAGATAAAAACACTAGTGCCCTTTGTTAAATACTTTTTGTAAGCAATTTTGCTCCTGGTCCAGGACTTCTGCCACAATCTATTTTAATCCAAGAAGACTTGAGCCTACATAAGCACTACTGCTGTTACCAAATACACTGACTATGTCAGAACACAGACCTTCATTTATAGTGAACTTCTAATTATATGCTTGCCCCTGCTATTAGAAAGGAAGTAACTCACTTTAGATGGAGCAAATTTCATTCTATTTGGCTGTCATATAATAGACTAAAAGCCATAATGTTACAGATATACTTTTGTGACCTCAGGGTACAAGTAAGGAAACTAATGGGACCTGGCCTATTTAGAGGCCAGAGGCCAGACTCAAGTGATTTAATAGTGGAGCATTAGACTCATAAAGAAACTTGTGAGTAGATTAACTGCTTTAGAAATGGTAAGATGTATAAATAAAGTACTCTGGGTTTTTTTTTTCCTTTTTATTTTTCAGGTTTACAAGTAAAAGTAAACAAACTGAAAAAGGAACGAGTTTTGTAAGTATCAACATATAACACTGATGTCTTACTATAAAGTAATTGATACCAATGTCCTATTTGACCTCAATGTCGTATTTATAAGGAAATTAGCTTTAGTTAGTGTGGACCTTGGATAGTTGACAGTGAGTTTTTCAGACTTCTAAAGTAAAAAGAATAACTTAATCTTTTTGAGTAGTCTTAGGTAACGTTTGCTTGTATGTATATTTTAACATAATTTTAATATATAACTTTTTTCTGTAAGCTATTAAGATGGAAACTGATCTGTAAACTCATTTTGATCTGTCAACAGCATTCTTTTCTCAATTATGATTAACACTTGGAGTTTAAGATACTATAGAGGGGAGCAGAATAGTTCTGGGATTTCTAGGGTCCTATAAGAAATGGATAGTGTAAACCCCTTTTTAACTCATTTGAAATTATCAGTGGTTCCCCTGAATTGTTTTGGTTGTTAAGCCGAGAATCACATCTGATTTTCTAAGTCAAGAGTAGATTTTACTCATGGTTCTTGAGAGCTTTTACATTCAGGAATCTGAAATGGCATAGTAGAATACTATTACGTATAACAAAAATTATGGTCATTGTGAGTAATACTGCACTTTTGCTTTATGGTGTATACCAATGGGTCTCAGTTACTTCATATTCCTAATGCCTCCAAGGCTGTTTACCAAACCACCCATCAAACACACCTCACTGTTTTCTCCATTATAATCTGAAAATGAATATTGGAAAGTTTTTCTTTACACCTACAAAGTCATGTTGGAAGATGACTTAGATTCAGAAATACAAAATAATAAATTTTTAAAACTTTTTGAAGAATAACTTTATGATTCTTCTTAATTAGTGACAGTTTTAAATGCTTTGCACTGTTGAAAGTGTACATGTTCCCACCTTAAAGATTTTTTAAAATATCCTACCCATAGATTAATCCATTTCTCTGTTTCTGCGGTAGAGCTGTGTTTAGTTCCCACAATGGAGAGATGTTTCTTTACTTATAGAGGAAACTAAATAAATCATTTCTGAATAGTAAATTTAGAATGTGCATCTTATTAGGATAGTTTTTTACTGTGAGGAAAAAAACCACCAGAAGTGACTTTTACAGTAAGGAAAATGTATTCTTTATATAAAAGGCCCAAAGAAGGGAAATTCTAGGACTGGTTATTCAGTGACTCAAAAATCATCAAAGACTCAGGTTCTTTCTGTCTGTCTTCTCTGCCATTTTTGGTGTTCTGGCCTTCACTTGCTGCAAAATGGCAAGATAGCTGTCGTCATTCTATTGGGTTGTTGGAAAAGTCATAATGTATTTTTCTATGGTTTTCTTTGCAAAAATGCGTCATGACTTTTCGGACAACCCAATAGTTATCACTTGCAGAACCTCCATGTGTCCCTTTTTACTAATTATAAGAGTTTTTCAGAAGCAGCCTCCAGCACACTTCCTCTAACTCACTGATGATTATTGTGTGCACATTCTTAAACAGTAACTGGCAAAGAGAAATTAACGTGATTCGTTTAGACTAATAAAGATTCTGACAGTACTTTATATGTATTCTAGGATTGAGCAAGTAAGTAAATATATTATTGATAATCAGACCCAGGTTTCTCACTGTCAGTAAAAAGGAGTTACAAATAAGAAAATGGAGACGGCTAGGATGAACCCTGTGCTGCTGGATAGAAATTGGATCTATTAGTATGAATTCATGTTTTTTAATATAGGGATGAATACATATAGAAATAGATACAAATATGTGTTCATGTGTAGGAGGACATATATACATTTCCTAGGCTTGGTCTGTTGACAGGGCCTAGAAACAGTGATTCCCAGTAGTAATGAGCATACCTAAAGCCCAGATATTGATTTCTAAAGAGGATTCTCCAGTAAAAGGAATCAAGTTCTTGGGAGAATTGTCTGACTTTAGGGCAAGAGGAAATGCAAAGTTCAAGATGAGCTGGAACATCTTGTGATGTCAGAAAATAAGGAAATGCGCAAAAAGAAATGGGGACATGTTGAAAAAATACAAAAGAGAACTTAAACTCCTAATGGCAAAATCTAGAATGATCTGAACAATGAAATAAAGATAATAATGAATTATTCTACCTGTGGGATAAATGGAGAGTTCCTTTTTAGTAGAATTCCAATTACTAAATGTAGAAAGAATGTTAGAAATAGTAAATCACCATTTGGCAAAAGATAGCAATAATGGTTGAAGGCAAGAATGGTCAATTAGGTTAAAATTAGTGAAAGTATGATGAAAAAACAATAATTGTAAATTTTGCAAATTACTCAAAGTATCTCTCACAAGATAGTTAATAATTGCAAAGGGAACATTGTAATATTACTGTGGAGGAACCAGGCAGACCTCATTTCAATCAAGTGATCAAAGTTAATATCACTGGTAATCATATATGTCAACCTCATGTACCTCCTGATATGGTGCACTAGGAAGAACACAACATTACTTCTGTTGTATTCTTACCAAAAATGTTATCATGGGATTTTATTATGGCAAAGACCAGACAAACCCTAGTTGAAGGACAACAAAAGAACTGGCCAGTACTTTGCAAAAGTGTCAAGGCTATGAAAGACAAAAAATGATGAAGGGACTGTCCCAGATTGGAGAAGACATGACATTAAATGCAATGTAGAATCCTGGATTGCATCTTGGACCAGAAAAATGATAGTAGAGGGATAGTTAGCAAAATTTGAATAAGGTCTGTAGATTAGTTAATGGTATTGTATTAATGTTAATTTTTTATTTTGATAATTGTATATGGTTATGTAAGCTATTACCATTTTGAGAATCCAGATAATAGGTATACAGGTACT